CCTTTTTTTTTTTTTTTTTATTTTTTAATATGGGGGGACTATGATTTATTTTACATAGTATGTAAAAAATAAAGCTAAGCAAGCAAAAATGTTAAAAAGCTAAACCACCCGAATCTTGCATAGACAATTATATATAGAATTAGAATTTTGCGTTTTCTTTTTAAAGGAAAAAACATTGTCAGATCTATTAGAGACAAAATTTAATGTTTTCTTTTTCAGCAAATCAAAGGTAAAGCATATTTTATGTGTTATGCAGGCTAGTAGAAATTCAGTAGGGAGAGGGGATTTGCTAGAAGAAAGAAGACCTGGGTTCTAATGCAAGCCCTGGTATTTTGGAGCTATTTGACTTTTACCCAAGTTTTCTGAGCTTGGATTTCTTTGGGGCTCATAATATCTGCTCTCTTTTCTTATGTGTTTGTTTTAGGCTTAAGAAAAAGAAAACATACATGATTTTACTATGGAAAAAAGTAATATTTAAGAGTATGATATTCTAAGGAAAGAACATTCATTCTCATTGGCATTTTATTTATTTTAGTTATGTATTGAATTAACAGATTTTAAGATATCCAGATATGCAATTCTACTCTATCAATCATCTATGAGTTTACCTTATTTTTATTAGTAAATTCAAGAAGAAAGATTCTCTTTTTTGTCTTTTCATAGTCTTAATTTCTTTCCTAAAAGTCTTATAATGAGATTTATTTTATTTATTTTTTTTTGAGAGGTTTTCGCTATAGGGCACGTGCGCTCGCCAGACAGACAGAGAGAGACATAGAGACAGAAAGCGAGAAATCACCACCACCCAAGGGGGATGGCCACGCCGCAATCCCTTCTCCTCCATTCTCCTCTCGGGATCTTGGGCACGCACGCACATGCGCCTGGCATTCTAAGCCACCGGGTCTGGGACACGAACCGCGGTTGACTACGTGGGAATCCAGCGACATAGCCATTACGCTAACTGTTGGTTCCCAGATTTATTGAAACACTGGTAGCAAGATTCATTTTTAAGAACAATCTTTGTTCTGTGTTATTTAAATGAATATATATTTAAATGGTAATTCTATCTTAATGATTTTATATAAAATTAACACTCTTGATTTTGATAGTTCATGAAAAGTTCATGAAAACATGAATAGTTCATGAAAACATGAAAAGCAGACATTGTGACTGACTTTGACTGAGTTCATTGATTACCATGGACTACTTGACAGTCCAGAGAGGTAACCATTACATCAATTGGTGGTCCCAGCTTGAATTTCTTTTAAGAATAAGGAGCATAAGGACCAGCAGATGGCATAATGATTATGTTGCTGAACTTCCATATGGCCAACTATGGTTCAAGTCCTAGACCCAGTGACTAGAAACTCACACTGAGTGCATCTGCAGTGCATGACCAAAATTCTGAGAGGAGAATAGAAGAGAAGAGACTGTGGCATGGCCATGCCCTGGAAGGTGATTTCTCACCTTAAGTCTCTTCATCTCTCTCTGTCTCCCTGGCAAGCACACATGCCCTAGATCAAAAATCTGTCTCTCTAAGAAAACAAGAATAAGAACTATATAGTCTTCTTGATAATCTTTGGAAAATTTCCAGGAGAAACCATAGATTTCTGTACAGACAGCAATGTATATACATAGGTCACATTTATCATTTTTTCATAGGTAGTTAATTCACTATGAAATAACAGTAGTTAATTTAATATTCACACATTTATTCCAGGACCAGACTATAATGAATCTTAATTAATTTACAAAAAGTCATAACTGGGAAGTTTCAGTGTAATCTTACGTATTTATTGAGCTGTTGTACAAGTTGTGATGTATTTTTTCTATTTTATGTAAAAAATGCATCATGACTTTTCCAATAACCCAATAAATTGGTAACTAGTTGAAAAATTTAAAATAAGGTTATTTCCTTGGGAGAGAAAAAAATAATTATTTTTTGTCTTTGTTGAATTTTTCCTTGGTCTTCAGGACATTTGCTGAGAAGTATGAACAATTTCTCATAGAACCTCTGAAAAGCCCAAATCTTCCCTCTGGAGTTTAGTTCAAGCTTAGACAGGATCCAGAATCCCATAAAACCCTTAGAGGGAAGGGTAATTCTGATAGGAGATCTTTAAGAAAACAGGGCCTTTCCAGGGTTTGCCTTTTCCTTCTCAGCTACTTAGACAGTATGCAAAAGGTTTTATTTTTGAAATTCCTCTTTACTTTGTTTCTTCAGCTCTTCTCTTTCCTTCTTGCCATGTGCTATTATTCTTAACCACATGCTATTTGCCAGCACTGTGGTAGCCATATAAGATTTAAAAAAATATAGTTTTTCCTGAGCTATATGCCATGATGGGTTAGACAAACATTTGTAAAATGTGGTACAGAATCAATATATTAATAGCAAAGGTTGGTGGAGATTTATTCAGAGTGTTCTGGGGGTGAAGAGAGTGGATATCTCACACACTCAGAGTAGGAAGGTCGAGGGAAGGATTCTTAGGCTGTTGGTATAACCTGGGATGACATAGTAGGAAGAGGTAGGGATCCGCTAGGCAAAGATGAGCCTAGAGGACAGCAGGGCCTTCCTGGGAGGTGAATGTCACTATCCAATGCATGAAGTGGGGGATGACTTGGCGTTTACTAGGGAACTACAGACTGAGGCCCTTCCTGATACGCACTTTTGAGCAGCGTATACTTTCTAAAGCTATTTGTCCTCACAGAGTACTCATCACTGCTTACTCAGGCTCTCACTAGATTAGTTACATTTAGTTCTTCGGTCATTATGTGCACAAAATACCCCATCTATCTTCCTGGGGTTGGGTAGTGGAAAGGCTGTGAGTCATGAGAATTAAACCCACCTAGGGTCATGTCCCAGCTCTGCCACCCACACACCATGGGAACAGGGGCAAGTTATTTAACTCCTCTGAGCTTTAGTTTCCTTATCTCTAAATCAGAGATAAAAATAGTTCTTCTAGGGTTGCCTGGAGGATTGAATGATGTAATTTTTAAAGATGCTTAGGACAGTGTGAGCCCAAATTAGTCCCTCGGCAGATGGCAGTTGTCACTATGTTATTGGTTGATAACGATTTCACACTGCCTTTCAAAATAGCAAATACAATTTATTGAATTTTAGGAGCCATAGGATAAGAAATGTATGATTTACTGTATAAATTACTGAGACTGGCATACTGGACCTTTTAGTCATATGTTGTTTCATTTTAATAGACAAAATCTCAAATATTATCCAGTGTATTGGATGCTGCCCAGCAGTTTATAAAAGAGGTGCATCCGGATGAACCGAAAGGGGAGAATATTTCTGCAAAAAAGGCCAGTGGAAGTCAACTTAACCCTAAATCTCCACTTCTGCAGGGGAGCAACTCTGAGGTAATCTGAGGGAAATATAATAGACATTTTCTATCATGCATGGCCTTAGCGACTGCTTTTTGTAGAGTTTTGCAAGTTGCTTAATCTCATATATTTAGTATGGATCTTTATGAAAAAAATACATCTTGACTATCCAACTCTTTTAAAGCAGATTACTTCTTATTCACTACTCACTGATCCTTTGACAAATCATCTTTTGACCATATGACTTTCTAGGCATTTTCATCACATTAGGAATTGAATAAATATTTGGGTAGAAATATTAAATTAAGACCACAATACTATATAACAATTCTATATTAGTTAGGAGTTCTGAGAGGCTAGAAATGCATTTCCAAGTGTTTTAGGTGACAGGCAATTTCGCAGTTAATTTTCTGTCAGTTATTCAGAATGACTACTGATCTGACAATGTGCTAGATAAGCTTTTATCAGCTCATGTCTATATTTTTATAATAGATTTGTATTGATTCTTTAGCATGAAACAAACTTCAAATGTTGATCAATGATATAAGCCTAATTCTTTTAGGTGTCATTCACATTTTCTCCCTCAGTTTAGAAACTGTGAGTAATTGGCCAAAGTCACAGTTTGCCACTTGGTAAACAAATCGGGGTTGAACTTAAGTATTTGAGTTCCAAATTTGGGTTCATAGATCATAAAATGAAATGTTCTCTGAGCTAGAAGGGACCTCTTTCTACAGGAGGAATTATGCTTGAATATTTCAAGAAAGCATATTAGAGTGAATTTCAATTTCTTTTTTTTAAAGAATTGTTTATTTTACTTTATTTATCATTATATTATTATTTAAATTTGCTGTGGGGCATGTGAGCTCACCAGAGAGAAAGAGAGAGAGAGAACGAAAGTGAGAAAGCAAACTCCCAGGTCCAGGACTCAGACTGTGGTCAGCCATGTGGGAGTCCAGCACCTTAACCACCATGCCACCTGTTGGCCCTGTGAATTTTTATTTCTAATAGAACTGCTCATGGTGTTTTGTGAAGAATAACTGAATGAGTTATAACCTCATGATGATAATATTATTAATTAGATTGGGGATAAGATATTGCCCTAAATAGTTTACATCTCCTTTTGTCTTTTTAAAATTATTCCCTTTTTTCAGAAAGAATGGTGGCAAAGAATAGTTTCTATAAATTACCCAAAATATTACTGATAGTAGAAATCAGATTGAGCTCAGGCCTTCTTACTCCAAATTACCTGCTTTTAACCACTGCAAAAAGCTGTCATTTTAAAGGTTTCTCCTTCATACCTGCCATTTTATCTAATTTGTCCTATTAAAAATAATAATGACGAACAGGCAGCTAACATTATTGAACACCTTATGCCAGACGCTGCATTTAGTATTTTGCTTGCTTCATCTTATTCAATAATCAGATATAAGTATTTTACCTGCATTAACAGATGGTGAAAGTAGAGACAGAGTGAGTAACTAGTCCCACTAGGAAGTTACAGAGTGGGCTTTTTTGTGCCCTTAATCATTACAATAGATGCTTCCAGTTGTCTCCATAAGTAACCAGATATACTGTATAGATTCTCCATCTCTTGTCATAACTTAAAAGCCATTAATTCAGTGGTTTGACCTAAGGGTGTATATTAGAGCCAACTGGAGAAATGTTAAGAAAAATATAAACGACTAAGTGTGACACCTCTGTGGGTGAGGACCAGCCATGTGTGATTTTAACATCTCCTCGGTGACTGGTGGTTTTCTTGGTTGGGACTGATTGCTATAAACCCCCAGGCATGCGCTTGTACTCAGCACACATCGAAGGGTTAATGTACCCTTCTCAGACTCCGTGGTCCTCTGTACTGAAAAGCCATGGTTCTCAAACTGTAGAAAATATCAGAAGCTCTTGGTAAAAATGTGCATTCCTGGGTCTGATGCCCCCATTTTTTTTTTTTTCCTAACATTTGGGTCAGGGCTGAGGAATCTGAATTTTAATGAACACTGCAAGTAATTTGAGTGATTGGAAGAGTCAAGACAGCGCCAAAGGCTTCTACTGATGTTATGTTTTCACTTGTTTGTTTTTAAATGGATTCAAGCTAAAGGGGAATTCTTGGAAAGGAATGCAGTTCGTAAAATAGTTTATATTTTTAGGAACTGAAACCTGGATTTACAATACTGAGCTTGTTTTTTCTTAGAACTTCGTAACCTGGACAAATTGCTTAGCCTCCTTTCTTTTTAAAAAATTTTTTCCAGAAAATACATGTGCTCACTAGACAGAAAGAGAGAGGAGGAAGGTAAGAAAGCACCATCACAGGGGATGTCCACTCCGCAATCCCTCATCCTCCATTCTCTCTCCTGCTGGGATTTTGGGCATGCTTGGGCACATGCCTAGTGTATTTTTCAAGTCACTGGGTCCAGGATTTGAGCCACACAGTTGGCCATATGGGATCCAGCCACCTTACCCACCACGCCAGTGGCTGGCCCAACTTAACCTTTTTGATCCTTTTTTTGTCCAGAAAATGGGGATAAGAAACATGTCTTACAGGACTCAGAGGGTAAGGAATTCATAACACTGGATGAGTATCCATGTGCTCCTCAGATTCCCTACCCCTTTTGGAGACAGGCAGGGTCCTATCCCACTTGGAGTGAAGTGCTCTGTGTAGTGTGAGGTGAAACATCTCAGAGCCAGTGTGCGACCCTCTAGTGTTTTCCTACCTTGCTACAGCATGCGGGCTCTAGGTAGTCAATGTCATAGCTCCTATATGGGCACATGTATCCTACACCTTTGATCCATGCTTGGAAGGGAGCTGCTGGAATCACTGCATACCTTAACCGTTCTGTATTCTCCACTGAGTTTCCATTACTTCCTCATTAGTACAGCACACACGCACAGACACACTGACAAGCATAGACACACTGACGTATTCCTTACTGGACACCTACCAATGCGCACCTTCCTGCATACTCCTGAGCACTCTCATCTAGTTTTCCAAGCCAGTTATTTTTGACAGCTCTTCATCTCCCTCTTTCGCACATCCAATCCATTGCTGCATCAGTCTGCTCAGGCCGCCATAACAACAAATCCCAGACCAGGTGCCAGAATTTACAGTTATTTCTCATAGTTCTGTAGGCTCAAAGTTCCATATCTAGGTACTGGCAGATTTGGTTTCTGGTGAGACTTTTCTTCCTGGTTGGCAGATGGCTGCTTTTTTGTTGTTGCATGTTCTTACATGATCTTTCCTCTGTACACACATGGAGAGAGAGAGAGGGAAAGACAGAGATTGATACCTAGTATCTACCTATTTCTTTGTTTCTTTCTCTCTCTTTTCCTTCCTTTCTTTCTTTCTTTCTTTCTTTCTTTCTTTCTTTCTTTCTTTCTCTTCCTCTCTTTTTAAAAATTATTTATTTAATTTTATTTATTCATTCATTTACTTTAATTTTACCAGAGAGAGACACACATGCAGAGAGAGAGAGAGAGAGAGAGAGAGAGAGAGAGAGAGAGAGAGAGAGGGAGAGAAGGCAAGTCACCAGGTCTAGGACTTGAACCATGGTAGGCCACGTGGGAGTGTCCAGCACCTTAACCACCATGCCATCTGCTGATACCATCTTCCTCTCTCTTTTCTTCTTTCTTTCTTTCAAGTTGTTTTTGCTGTAGGATGCTTAGCTCAGCAGAGAGAGACAAAGGGAAAGTGAGAAATCACCCTCCACGACAATGGCCATGCTCTAATTCCTTCTCCTCCTGGGATTTTGGACACATATGCACACCCACCCCAGCATGATTTTCAAGCTGCTGGATCTGGGACTGAAACCACAAAGAAACATGTAGAGTGTTCTCACATGGAGAAAAGTTACAGAGAGGAAAATCAATCAAATAAATTTAAAAAGTGAGGAGAAGTAGGGCAATTGTTTTTAGAATCATTAGTGAAAAAATCAGTGACATTTGAAGTGACATATGAGCAGAGACTGAATGAAATGAAGGCAATGGTCATGTGGAGATTGGGCGAAGACTCATTCCAGGCATCCATATGGTTAGTGCAAGGCTCGAAATGCAGGATGTGCTTGATGCTCCTGGAATTGCCAAGTTGTTATTTTGCTGTAACAGGATGAATGAAGGGGGGAGTATGGATGGAGAGAAATGACATAAATAAAAATAGGGTTGTATGAGACCATTAGAGACTTATAATTCCTGGGACAAACATGGGGTATCCTAGAAAATCAACAGAGGATTTTGAGCAGGGGTGTGACATGATCAGATTTAAGTTTTTGTTTATTTATTTATCTATCAAGAGGCAGCAGTAGATCTAAGAAATATGCCAAGTAATGCTGAATTATAAAGTGAGATAAAAAGATTAACTAGCAAAAGCCAGAAATTTTTTATGTGTAAATTTCCTTTTTTAAAAAATATTTTATTTAAATTTATTTATTTATTTGCTTATTTATTTAAATTTGACCAGAGAGAGACAGAGAGGGACAGAGAGAGAGGAAAGGTGAGAAATCAAGCTGCCAGATCCAGGACTCAAACTGCTATCAGCCATGTGGGAGTCCAGTGACCTTAACCACCATGCCATCTGCCAGCCCCAGATTTCCTTTTTTAAAAATCAAGATATAAAAAAGTCTACAAATGATGAATACCTGACAAATCAACAATTAGCTTATAATTATTGGGATAAATTGAAATGTCATCATACATATTTTAATCCCAATGAACATATTATAATTAAACCAGTTTGTGAAAGAGCCAGCTATGCAAAATATTTTAGTTAATTTCATAATGAATATGCTCTAGTTTTCTTTTCTTTCTTTCTTTCTTTCTTTCTTTCTTTCTTTCTTTCTTTCTTTGCATTTTTCTATCTGTCAAAGGTTTCCTCCTCTTGTATCTTACAACCTCCCTCTGCCATCCACTCTCTACAATCCACTCTGCCCCCTTACAGTCTCTACCATTTACGCTCATCCACTCCACCATCACATTTTCAAGTCTCTCAATCTCTGCTGAATTACTCAATGCAAAGTGAGTGGGGATATGCAATGTGTGTCTTTCAAAGTTTGACTCACTTCACTAAACATTAAGGGATTGAAAAGCTGTGTCATGTTTGTACTGTGGAATATTACACAGCTCTATGAAATAATGAGATCCTATCATTTGATTCAAAATAGATGAATATAGCTGAATAGTATTCCATAGAGTATATGTGCCACAGTTTCTCAGTCCATTCAACCATACCAGGGGTATGTGGGTTGGTTCCATGACTTAGCAATCGTGAATAGTGCCACAATAAACATCGATGACAAAAAGTGGAAGAATATGGAAGATTTACTGCTGAGTGAAGCAAGCCAGGTTATGAAGGAATGACACAGTATGTCCCCACTTAATATATACCGAGTGTCTGCACTCTATAACTGAAACTGATTGACCTAAGATTGTACGAACACAAGAGATGGGGGTTAGTGCCAGAAGTGGAGTATGTGGAGAAGAGGGACATAAGGAAGGACATTTGGAGGAGAGATACGGAGACAGAGCATTGATGGGATGGGGAGGTGTGTTGTTATTGGTGGTAGATATTCTGATCAACTGGGCTGGGGAGAAATGTTCACATATTGAAATGTTCACATTGTAAGCTAAATAATATGATTGAATGTATATAAAAATTAAAATAAAAAATAAAAAAGATGAATATAGAAGATTTAATGTTGAGAAGATTTACATGTTTAAAAAACTGATTTTTTTGCTCTGGGGACTATAGGGAGTAGGTGATGGAAGAAGTTAAAAACAACTGTCTGATTTATAATGTCTAATAATTAGTCCTATTTGTATTTTAAGATATGGAAAAGCAAATGAAGCATTCTTAGAGACATTGTTGATTGGTTTAGGTAGAAATTACAACAAGAACATCAAGAACAGAATGTACAAATCCAAGTGGTAAGCTCTTGTGTGAAGGGTCATTCGATGAAGAGGCTTCTGCACAGTCCTTTCAGGAGGCATTAAATCAGTGGAGAGCTGGGAATCATGATGACAAGAAACAGAACTCACATGCAGCAAAACCAGGTATGCCTAGTTTTACAAAATGAATGTTCTAAAATAAGGCTGGACTTTATCTTATTTACCTCCATTCTCTAGAGGAAATCCTGTATTTTCGAAGTATTAAATTTATTAACTTTATCACTTGGAGTCTTATAGTGTCTTGCAGTCACTTTATATGGAATATACAATGTCAGATAATAAATTTCAATCATGTATTTTACTTGAGAGAAGCATCTAATTTTACTGTTTTTGTTTCATTGTTTTTTAGTGAAGGAAGGAACTCTCCCCACTGTTTTTTCTTTGCAACATATTATAGTTCTTATTCTCACTGTCTTCCCAATTACACTTGAAATTTTTACTTTAATAACGTTCTCTCCCGGGGCCAGCAGATGGCATAGTGGACTGTTGCTGGACTTCCACATGGCCAACCACGGTTCAAGTCTCAGACCCAGTTGCTTGAAACTCATGCCAGGCATATGCGTGTGTGTGTCTAAGATCTTGGGAAGAGAATGGAGGAGAAGGGATTGCGGCGTGGCCATCCTCCCTTGGGATAATTTCTCACTTTCCCTCTCACTGTCTCTGTTTCTCTCTCTCTCCACAAGCACATGTGCCCTAAGGCAAAAACCTCTACAAAATATTTAATAATAATAATAATAGTAATAATGTTCTCTCCTTTAAGTGAACTTTTTGTAATTGTTTATGGTATAATAATTGAATTAATATTTCTTTTTTTAAAAGAATTATTCATTTATTTATTTCATTCCATTTATTATTATTTTTTAAAATTTCACCAGAGAGAGAGAAAAGGAAAGCAAGAAAGCAAGCTGCCAGGTCCAGGACTTGAACCATGGCCAGTCATATGGGAATCCGGCACCCTTAATCACCATGCCACCTGCTGGTCCCTATATTAATATTTCTGATATTTGTTTTGTCTGCTCTCTTTGTAGTATGATCCTCAAAATAACTCTCATTGATTATGATATTGATGAGTTTTTTATTTGTATTTTTATATTTTGATTTTTTTTTACTTAACTCTGAAAGAAACTGATATTTTTTTGTAATAATACTTTTCTGATTGTCTACTTTGAAAGACATAGTATTTAAAACAAGACCGATACTAAAGTAAGAAATCATTAGGTCAGAGAGAAGTTCAAAACCATTTTTAAAACTTATTTTTCAAAATAGAACATAATATCTGTCATATGTTATATGATAAAAGATACAGAGCATCATGTTAAATGAAATAAGTGAGGCACAAAAAGACATCTGCGTGCTTTCACTGACACGTGGCATCTGAAAAAGCTGAACACAAAAAAAACCAAGAGTAAAATGATGTTACCAGGAGAGCAAATGATGTGGAAGACTTGGGGGATTTTGGTCAGAAGACACAAATTTTAGGAGCAATAAGTTCAAGAGATCTATTTTACATCATGGGTACTATAGTTAATAGTAATATAAATGTAATTATGATTTTTAAAGATTTGTTTAACAGTTAGCAAGAACAACACCTAAGATAGTCCAATCCTATCATGTAGAGATACCACGTGGAGATGTTAATATTTCGGTACATATTTTTCAATAGACATGGTTAGATATATGCACACATACAAATCGGATACAATTGCATGTGGTCACCAGATCATTCATTTTCTTCACTGAGTTTCTGTCATGGAAAACATCCTATATGCATCATCATTTATAGCTGTTATATGATATTCTACATACCAGGGTGTAGTCAAACCTTTGTTTTTTGTTGCTAATTCTCAGTACTATAAAAGAACTTATGAAAACCATCTTACTTATTCATACACGCATACAAATATCTTGAAATAAAACTCTAAATATATTTATGTGTCAGTGGTGATTTTTAAAATGATAGTTTTGGTGAATATTGTCACATTGCCCTTTATAAAGGTTACTATGTCAGTTATGTCCTCACTGACAGTGTATAAAATGACCACTTTCCCACATTTTCTCATTTTTAAAGTTTAGCCAGTTTGGTAGCTAACAAATGATTATCGTTTTAACTGGTTTTTCATCATAATCTGTGAAATAATTATTGACAATTTTTTCTGTCAATAGCTTTTATTATTTGCCAATGTTTGGATACAAGTAGCATTTTAAATGCTAGGGAAATAAAACATTCTCCTCTTATAATGACTTCATCAGTAAATAGTGAGCACATATGCTATGTGCTGGGGAAAAGTGATATATAAATGCAGTCATAACCTTCTGTGGAACTTACATAATAAGGGCAAAGATTCAATCCATTGATTAGCACAACCTGGGTGGAGATATGACATACATTGCCCATATCAGTTGGAAACAGCATGCACTAAAGAAGTTGCACCATCTTGTTAATTTGTATCACATGACTCAAAGAAGCAAGTGGAGGGAAACATTTTGAGTGTTAAATTAAGGAAGATAAAATTCAAGATTAGATTAGGTTGAATTGGTCAATGTAGATGTACTCATACAGGATTGGAGTCTTCATGTACTTGATTAAACTCTGCAGGAAAGGCATTGGCAATCTGCCAGTTTGGCTAATAAAACCTGAACTCATCTTTACAGTTAATGAAGTTGAGATACTGGAACTTTCCTGACCTGCTGTAGGGGGAAGAATTTGGAGATACAGGAATGCTGAAATCGATGATAAGAGCAAGCTACTCCTTTAGGCATGCTCTCTCTGAGGTCCCGGATGATACTGTCATCCCCAAGGCATGAAGCCAGAATCCGTAGAAAGGTTTCACTGTAGCTTTCCTCTGTATGTTGAAAATGGTGTGCAAGTGATTCAGTGGAATGGAGCTGTCTGATTTCAAAGGAGTAATGAACACCTCGAATGGTAAAGCCTACGTATGGGTGCATATCATCAAAATTGTGGTAGAAAAATTACCAGCTTAAGGGACAGAAAAGAGTAGTAATTAGAATGTTTCAATTAACATAGCCTGGGTGTTTATCAGAGCATCTAGGAGCAAAAGAGTTTTACAGCCTACATTTCACCTGTATAATTAGGAAATTTCTGTCTGATGAGTGGAGACTGGAGTTGGGCCACTATCATATTGGGTATTCAGAGTTTTTATGTTCTCAGACCTAAGCCCATCCACAGATCTGGAATCACTTAACTGATAAAGAGAGTGAGTTCATTAAGAGATTCCATAGCAAGGCCACCAGTATACATCATGTATTTTATACTAAATCTTCACTAGCACAACTATGGCTACATACCAGGATGAACATGCAATAGAGCGATGCTTATATTTCAGAGGCATTACTAGATTCTGACTATGAACGGATACTTATTCCTGGAGACTTCAAATACCACCCTAGTCCACTAGAGGCTTAAGAAGAGGAAGTGGTAGGAGTCTTGGTTTGATTTTGTCTTGTATAGGATACAGTGGCAGTGTGGACCCATTGTGCCATTGTTTTCAAGGCCTGAATGTACATTGGGAATAGATATACTCAGTGATGGAAGAATCCCGACACTGGTAGTCTAACCTGTGGCATGAAGGTGGTTATGGTAATACATAAATACAAGACCAGGATTACTCCTCCCCTCACTTTTCCTTGCTAAAGTAACATGCCAACAGCAATAGTACATTCGTGGGAGCTGCAGCAATTAATGTCATCAGTAAGTACCGGAAAGTACTACTTTTTAAAAAATGTTCCCACTTGACCTGCCTCTTTGGTATGAAAGCTGCTTGGGAGAGCTGGGTTATATTTGGTTGATCCGATGATGGTGGTGCCAATCACAGTTGTCTTTCTGGACTGGAGAAAACACATTTTCTGTGACTAGGGAGTAACCTTTGACCTAGTGGAAGGCTTGGTAAAAATTTCTGTAAAAGGCCAAATAGTAACTATTTTAGGGTTTTCTATCATTCAGAACTACTTAGCTACTCAACATTGTCCTCCTTGACACTTCTCTTTCTTCTCCTTCTACATCAACTCCCCTATGTGTCCCCAGTTTGGGGAGAGAGACTGTATTTTGGAGGAGGAGAGACCAGTAATCCTGAATTTATACTGTTTTTGTTTCCAGAGATCGTCAGCAGTTTCAAGTACCTCTGCCTAGTGATTTTAGTTTAGTAGTACTTCAGAAATGTCTCAAGTATCAGGAAGTAAATTATGTAGATATAAGTTCATGAAGACAGTTGTCGCCTCCAAGTGTCGTTCTGAATTATTTATTTTCTGTTTCCCATAATGTGTGAACATCATTGTCAGTGACCGTAATATATGTACATATGTGTGTGGAGAATGTACAATGAATATGCTTGGGTTTATCTTTCTCATTTAAAAAAATGTTTTTTAAACCTTGTGAATCATAGGATCCTTTAATTTCAAGGGATTCTGAAAAATAAACTGTCTATAAAGCCTCTTAATAAATCACCAATATACAACACTTTTGCATTATTTAAACTTTAACCTATTGATTATATAAATAATACCAAAGCCTGTATGCCTCAAAAATGATGAATTCTATGAAAGGAAGTATGGTAATGTAAAGACTTGGTTACATTAATTATCAATGTGGTTTACTTTTATAGACTCATTTGAAGACTCTGAAGTGCAGACTAATCTGAAAATTTGGAGAGAACCACTTAATATTGAATTTAAAGAAGACAGTCTATCCTACATGGAAAAATTGTGGCTTAAAAAGCACAGAAGGTACTTTCTTGATTTTCAATATTATCGTTAGGTGATTTATGTTATTTGCTTGTATAACAGGCCTTTCTGTACTAATTTTATATTTATGCTTTCTATTTACATAAATAATTTTAAAGCAATATTAAATCGCTGTGAAGCTTCTACAGTTCTAATAAGGATTTAATTCTATTTATGTATATGATGCATCATTAATTGAGAATTTACCCTGAGAAATGGAAATGTAGAAGACATATACATAGCATAGAATATAAGAATAATAGCAAAAATTGTGCAATAAATGGAGATTACTTTGAAAAGATATTACTGTAAGTTTTATATTAGCATAAACATCTGAGGCAATACCTCTCAGAATCTAGCTTTAAGTTAATTAGAACTTTAATTTTGCAATTTTATTAATAGTAATAAAATGTACTTTATTGAAAGACTATATTATTCGATGTTCCATTTCATCAATTATTTAAAAATTAAGCTATTAAAGGCCCAACTATTCTGGCACATGGTGTGAGGCACTGCTGCATGATGCTGAAGCCACATGGCAGACGTGGGTTCAGATCTTAGGTTGACCTGAACGTTCCAGGCACGCCCACAAATGCTTGTAAGCCTGACTGGCTGCGAGGTAGGAGAGTGGGTGAGAGAGCATAGCAAGACTTTGTCAAACATACCTGCCTCTCCCATGAAAAAAAAATACACCTAAATAAATCAATATTATTTAAATATTGAACCAAAACTATGAATGAGTAAATGTTATAGTCATTCTTAACTTTATCATTATATGGGGTCACTGGGAAAGTCAGGATGCATTCTTTTCTGATGACTCAGTCTAAGACCTACAGAATTTTAGATTCCAGGAGCACCATGAAAGGCCATAACCTGAGTTTGAGCAGCCTACAGGAGAGCTGCTTACACTTTATTGTGCCTTCCAATTGGCTGGAAACCATGGCAAAATACATATTCGCCCTCAGTGAACCAGAGTGGGGCCTGAGATTCTGCATTTCTGAGTTTCTGGTAGCTCCAGGTGATAACTGGTGTGAATAACGCTGTTCTTTAGACGACGCGCTGGCAAGCAGGGTGATAGAGGAACTCTGGGACTGTAAATGAGGGACCATCCAGCCCTAGCTGCACCTTTAGTCATACAAAGCCATCTCCTGAGGTGGCCCATCCCTTCAATTTTTTAACATTAGCTTTTGTGTTTTCCTTGACACTTCCACGTGGTAAGTTCCTATCTGTACTACGACTTCCCCTTCAAATGGATCACATGTGACAGATTTTTATAATTTGAATCTTTAATTTTGAAATAAGGCTTACAGGAGAATTGTAAAGTAATGAAAAGAATATCCATATATAATTTACTCAGAGTTCCTTAATAGTAACAGCTTCTGTAACCATCATGCCTTCATCAAAACCAAGAAACTGATGTCAGTACACTGTTATTGACCAACTATGGATTATATGTGGATTTTTATCAGTGTTTCCACTAAATCCTTGTCTTGTTCCAGGATCCAATGTATGATCCTACACTGCATTTTCTGTCTTGTCTCCTTATTCATTCTAGTCCTTCAGTCTTTCTTTCATGACCTTAGCACCTTTGAACAGTCCTTGTCAGGTGTTTCATACATGTACTCAATTTGGGCTTGGCTAATGATTTTTCATTATTAGATTGAGATTATACACTTTGAGGAAAAATGCCACAGAAAAGATGGGTCCTTATCAGTGCATGATATTTTGGGCTCATAATGTCAGTGTTGTTAGCCTTGGTCACATGGGTAAGGTGGTACTCATCAAGTTGCTGTACTGTAAAATTATTATTTTCCTTTCACAGTTAATACATATTTTAGAGAAGACACTTCAATGATGCAGATTTTCTGTTTTCCTTTAAACTTTCACCTGGTAATTTTGGCATCTGTCAGTGGGTTTCATTTCCAAGAGTTACTGCTCTTCTGCTCTATTGATGATTTTTCTATTTCATTCTTTCTTTCTACATTTACTAATCAGAATTATTCTTCAAAGAAGAATGTTCCTTTTCTCTAATTAAAAAAATAATTATTTTTATGGATTTATGGATGTTTCTTTTGTTTATGTGTTAGAACACTACAACTTTTTTTTTCCTTTCTGTTTTTCCGCAGTATGCATGTGATCACCACAGAGACAGAGAAAGAGAGAGAGGGAGAGTGAGAGAGAGAGAGAGAGAGAAGTCACCCCAGAAGGATGGCCATGCCACAATACCTTCTCCTCCATCTCCTTTCAAGATTTTGGACATACACACAGTTGGCATGTTTTTCAAGCCACTCAGTCTGGGACTTGAACCACAAAGTCAGCCACATCGGATCCAGGCACCTTAACCACCACTATTTATTTTGTGACACAAATTGTTTCTGCTTTGCTCATTGGTGGCCCTCTAGCCTGACTCTTCTGTTAGATACGTCTTTATCCTATTTGTTTATTTGTTGCTAGTTTGGTTTAAGCTTTTTCTTTTCCCATCCTTTGAGATGTATTTTTCAACTGCAGTCCAGGAATCACTTCTCCAAAGAACCCTTATTCCTTTTATTGGAGAATGTTATTCAGAAACCAAGGTTGAACTCTACTCAGGTAACAGATTCTAGGCCTTCTCAGAGGCTCGAGCTAGTACGAACACACACACTCACGCTCACACATCACACAGAGTCTTCAAAGATGCATGAGATATGTATGCTATGAAAATCTATGCCTGGCTTTCTAAATTGTCTGCACCGTGATAATTCCTAGTTTGGTAACTAGTACATGAATGTAATCCCAGTCGTTTCACATGAAAATGCCTTACACTTGGGGTGATACAAGTTTGTTATAGAACATAAGAAGCACAATTTTGTTGTTACATGAGCATTTGTTCCAGTACATTCTGAAACTACTTGAATCTGGATAATTGGAATGAAGAGAGTTTTATTTAGCTTATGACTTGGAAGTTCAAGGTGAGGGCCCACCTCTGGTGAGGGTCTTCTTGCTGGTGAGTAACATGTCAGAGGGCATGCATGTGAGCCTGTGTGTTCCTTCCATATGTCTCTGTTCTAGTCCCATGCTCTCTCCTTATAAACCCACTAGTAGTCATTCATGGGGCCATGCCTGATGACCCTAGTCCTAATCTCCTCCCAAAGACCCCATCTTTTAACCCCATTAGGTTAAATTGTTGTCCTAATCTCACCACTATCTGATCTCAACACATGGAATTTGAGGGTCACCATCAAACTATGGCACCACTATTACTTGCGCTTGGGCATGTACAAGAGCCTTTCATCATGGGGGTGTCAAGTCCTGACCTATACTCAGTACTAAATGTTGGCCAGCTTCCTTAGCAGGAAAGAACATGTAGTGAGCATATTCGCTGGGGTCTTATTAGCAGGGTTATTTTTTAATGGAAATCTTTTTTTGAGTTAATACTTCATGCTTAATTATAGATGTCAGTACAGGGCAATCAATTTGCAATTCATAAATTTGTGATGTATTTCTGAGCTGCACTTCAGAAAAGTTCCCCATGCTGCTCACCACGATCATGGTTTCAACTTACTTTTGCCTACTATCATGTTTTGGAACATGCTTATAAATATATATCCCTGTTGGGTTTTTAAAATTGTTTTCCTGTCATGAGATGAATGATCCACATGGATCCATGCTGACCTCGGTCCAGCATTCTGGATTTCATGCTCCCAGGACTGTCCCAGCTGGTTTCTGTGCAGTATGTTTCTGCATACAATCTGATTTTTCTCTTGGTTACATTCTTATTCCATCATATGGCTCCCAGCAGTAGAGAGGAGATTATGCAATATTTGTCTTTCTGTGTCTGGCATGTTGTTATGTCTGCCAAGATAGAGAAACAACCTAAGTTGTTGACAATGGATAAATGGATAAAGATATGTATGTGTGTGAAGTGCGTATGTGTCCCATGCACACAGATGCAGATGTGTATACACACACACACACACACACACACACACACACTGAACACATGCTGGAATATTATTCAATTTAACAAAGGAAAAAATCCCATCATTTGTAACATGCAAATGTTGATAGATCTTAATAGATAATTCCAGTGGATTTTTTCCCCATTTCTCCACAAACTTTAAAAAAAAATTATTTACTTTTTGTGTTTTATATATTTGCTCTCCCCTCCCCCCAGCAGATCTTGTAAATGTGTGACTCCTTCATAAAGGTGCAGAGGGTAGGTTGACAGGCAGGCAGTGCCTGTGCGTGGTGGCTCCAGGCAGAGCCAGTGGGATGGCAGCAGGGCCAGTAGGGGTAGTACTTTTAGATTCTGAGTCAGGCAACTGTGGGATTTAGGACTTGATCACTAAAGAATAAAGAGTCATCTGTAGCTATGGTTTTCTTAGCAGGAAAGATTTAGTGTATTCGCTGGGGTCTTGTTTAACATGGTTATTTTTTAATAGCAATCCTCTTTTGAGTTAATACTTCGTGCTTAAGTATAGATGTCAGTACAGGGCAATCTATTTGCAATTCATAAATTTTTGATGTGTTTCTGGTGGTGACGACAGGTGTGTGAGGGGGTGACTGGTGTTCTTAGGCCCTCGGTAGGCCACTGGAGGCTCTTCTCTTTGAGATAGCTAGGTGGTTTAACTGCAGCTAACAGTGAGTGTCCTAGCCTGGGTGGGTCATATGAGAAGTGTGGAGGTAGCGGGCAGGTGGGAGGATCTGCAGAGTCCCATGGGGGAGGAGGAGTCTACCAAGTGTACAGGATTT